TGTCACTCAATCAGAATCAGCTATAAGTTCCTTAATATATTTCTTTCCCTCAACATACACATACACACAAGAACCACTGGCATATTGCAGGGTCTCAAATTTCAGTGGCACCCAGTGCAATGCCAAAATTTGGTACCCCTGACACCCACTTCTCACTCTCCATTCTAAATCATAGTTGTGGCGTCCCTCACGGCACACCAAGGCTCGGTACCAAGTGCGACTGAACCAGTCACACTCCCGTAAATCTACATCTGCAAGCACTGTGTTGAAATGAAATGAATTTCAATAGGAACAAATGTAAGGTTCTACACGTAGGCAGGAATAACCAGATAGAATTGTAGAATTAAGAGTGACACTGAGAGGCATCTAGTCCAGCCCCCTCCAATGCAGTCTCCCATTCAATTTGAAACCATACTGGACCCTGCTTAGCTTTGCAAATGTGCTAGCAGTGTTATTATTGCTGTACCAGTAGGATGCACAACTCTAGGGTGGAGGACACCTGGCTTGACAGCAGTACATGTGAAAAGCAGCTAGTGCTGCTTAGGAAGAGCAGGACCAGCCTGGGAAGAGACACAGGGACTAGAGAGGCCCAGAGGACTGCACTGGCCCATGGGCCTGTGAGTCTCCACCCCTGAATTAAGGAAGGGAAAGAGAGAGCCATGTTTGACCCAAACTGAAAACATTATTTGTAAGGTAGAGCTACAGGTATGTACACATGACCTGTTAAAACCATTTGTGGGCAAAGCAATTGTGTGGGTGCTGAGGGGGGCCCTTTCACTTCCAAATTTCAGACTTTTAATGCCCTCTGTTAACTCAGAAACTAATTCAATACACATAAGCTTCCCCAGAATCAGGGAGTGACAGCTTGAGAGGATCATAGACAAAAAAAAGCGAAGCCTTTGCCCATCTTTGTGGCTCTCCTTAGAGACCCATTTCCCTTCCTCTCTTCCCTTCTCATCTCGTAAGGCTACTGAGGAGAGAGATAAGGAGGCTCTGATGCAAGACTATCCTTTTCATCTCAGACTGTGATTCCACACAAAACAGCTTGGAAGTATACGAAATTGAATTCAGTAAGAACAAATCTAAATCTGGGGTGCTGTTCATCATTTACTAGTTTGAGGAAGCTGCCATGATGCTTCCTAGCGGCTCTCAGGTGCCATGACACTCCCTAGCAACCTTCCCCAACCTGGTGTCCTCCAGATATTTTGCATTACAACTCCCATTGTCTCTGACCATTAACCATGCTGGCTGGGGCTTAAACATGAATGCCTACATTCTGTTCCCACAGCAGCAAACTGTTGGGTGTAGTGAAGGGTTAACCTTCTGTGTCTCGAGGCTGAGAGGAGGCGCTTACAAGGGAAGTAAGCCAGGACGTGACGAAAGCAGCTTGGAATGCTGTGAGCTGAGTGAAAAGTGAAAGCAGTTTAGTTACGCAGCTGCTGCTGAGAGAGAAGGATGCAAACAGGGAGCAAAATGCAGCTACAATCAGATGGTGTATATGAACTGTAAATATGCTACTTTTGAGCAAATAAAGTGCTACTAGGAAAGAAGAAACGTGTGGGACTTTTACTGCCCTTTCTACACGGACGCTGTGCAAATTCTGCTAATTGCTTTACGACCTGCAGAGGAGTGCAGGGGAGCGTGCCGGACCACAACAATAAAGCAATAAATCTATCCTTAACATGGTTATGGGTCAACGTGAAGCGTGTGAGGAAGGGCTTTGAAGTTTTATCTGCTGATCGTCAGCTTGATCGACTGCCGGAGACTTCAAAGAGGCAGATCGGAGGAGGCTGACGGAGTGGGAGCCAAGAGCCATGACGTCCGGAATTCCCAGTTTGGCTGAGTGAGTACCTTTGGGAAAAGCCAACAGAAGGGGGCAATGGCTCAGCCCTATGAACATGGCTTTGAGCTTAAACTGCCATGTCAGAAACTGACTAGCCAAAATTGGCTGCAGTGGAGCTTTCAAGTGGACCCTTTGCTGGTTGGGGAGCAGCTGTGGAATGTAATACACCCCACACAGAATGCAGCTGGGAAAGCAGAGGCTGAAAGGGCTGCAGAGCAAAGTGAAGTGGAGAAGCGTGTGCTTGCTTTTTTGGCAGAAAGTGTGGATGCTCATCTGGTGCCTGTTGTCCTGGGTGCAAGAAAGCCAGAGGCCGCTTGGCTAGCACTCCAAGAAGCTTGTGGAGCTGGAGTGGGAAGCAAGGGCCGAGAAGTGGCTGCATCTGAAAGGGAGAGGCAAGATGGCGCCGGCCACATTCTTGAGTGCCGATACACAGCTGGGAGGTGCTGTGAGCCCCCACAGGGGGGCGAAGGGACTGTTGCTGTTGTTGTTGCTAGCAATGCTGCTGGTGTTTTTGCTGAGCCTGGGAGCTGTGTGGATGCTGCAACATGTCTGTGTGAACAGAGGCCAAGTGTTGGGAGCCCTTTACCCATCAGAGGGGGTGCAGGAAAACGTCCTGGAGGCCCCATGAGTAGTGGGGGGGCAGTGAGCAGTGAAAGCTCAGAGACGCCTCTTTCTCCAAAAGCTGCCAAGAGTTGTTTACGTCGTGAGTCGGAGCCTGGGAAGCTGAAAAGGGCTAGAGGCTTCAAGGTCAGCCACCTGCAGCAAGTAGAGATAAGAGCTTCAGAGTTGTGTGGAAACGCCGAGACAAGTCCAGTCTCCATGGCAACTGAGAGAGTTGCATCTACGGAAGCTGTGAAGGTCGTGGGCAAGTCTTCCTGCCGGGGGGAGTCTGTTGCCGTGACAACCAGAGAGGACATCTGCAGAAGCCCCAAGGAGGGGGGTAGTGAGGAGATTGTTGCCCTGGCGACCCAGGAATGTAAACAACAAGACTTTCTCACTGTAATCATAGACTCTGGTGCCTCAAATTCGTTAGTGCCATCTGCTGATCTTTTGAGGAATTGCAGGACAGTAAAAACTGAGAAGTTTGTTAAGTTTGCAGATGGAAGCAGAAAAAGGCTAACAGAAACAGGACTGTTCTTCTGTCCTTTTCTTAAGCATGAAGTCAAAGCTTATGCAGTGCCCGGTTTAACTAACTGTTTGTTAAGTGTGCATGATCTATTGATCGATGATTTTCAAATTTCTTTTCAGGTGACAAATGTGAATTTTCCAAGGATGGGAAACACGTGTACACAGTGCAGTCTAAAGATAATTTGTTTGCTGTAAATGTGCCTTTTCCACAGGAGAAGATGACACCGAAGATGCGAAGGGCCAATGTGTGAATGTAGCGCCCCACAATGGTTGTTTACATATTTGGCACAGGCGCTTCGCTCATTTAAATTGGAAATTTCTCCAGAAAGCACCAGAGCTGACACAAGGGTGCAAATTTAATGTTTGTGACAAATTTCTAGATTGCAATGCATGTAAACAGGCGAAAGTTGTGACATGCTCATATCCAAGGTCAGAGAGGCAGACCACGCAACCCTTTGAATTAATTCATGCAGATTTGTGTGGACCCATGTCTGTTGAGTCACTGGGAGGTTCGAAGTATTCTTTGCTTTTGATTGATGATTTTTCGAGGTCTGCTTGGACCTTCTCTCTGAAAACGAAGGGGAGGCGGCTAAAATGATCAGGGATTGGATCACCGCAGTTGAGGTAACCTTTTCCACCAAAGTTCGTGGTTTTCAAAGTGACAGAGGTGCTGAATTCACTGGTTCTGCTTTACAGGATTACTTTAGGGAGAAGGGGATTAGCCACCGTCTGACCGCTACTTACTCTCCGCAACAGAATGGGCTCGCAGAGAGAAAGAACAGGACGGTGCAGGAAGCTGTGTCTGCGATCCTGTGGGACGCAGGGCTACCCCAGAAATTTTGGTCGGAGGCTTGGCGATATGTGGTCCATACCGAGAACAGAGTGTACAACTCTAGTGTAGGAAATACACCGTATTTTTTACTTCATGGAAATAAGCCTAAGGTACACTACCTTCGTGTGTTTGGTTGTGAGGCTTGGGTGCTTATTCCAAAGGCTCTACGCAAGAAAGGTGAGCCAAGATCTAAAAGGATGATCTTTGTAGGGTATGAGCCTGGCTCAAAGGCCTGGAGGTTTTCGTACCCAAGTGGAGACCAGTCTAGGTTGGTTATCAGCAATAGCGCTGAGTTCTGTGAGCAAGCTGGTTGGAAACGTCTGCACGCTAATCCAGACGTGCTTCCACAGCAGTTCTATGACTCAGACGAGGAGGAGGAGGAATTTGGAGCTGGGGACCACGGTCCAGAGGGACAGAGTCCAAGGCAGGGACAGCTCAGGATCCCTCAGAGGGGGGAACCTAGAACACCTCCTCAGGCAAGTGTCAAGTTTGAGCCAAAGAGTGAGCCTTCTTCACCTGCTGGACCAGCTGTAAGGCTCGAGAGGCGCAGCAGGTCAGAGGGGGAAGACACTGAAGTTGAGGATGATTTAGCTGGACCCAGTGAAGCGGCAGGGTCACCAGGAGTCACACTGAGGAGATCAGCGAGGACAAGGAGGCCTCCTGATCGGTACGACGCTTCAGGCGTCTGGGTAGGTTTTGCAAGATGTGAACCTGAATCCTTCGAGGATATTCAGAGTTTACCTGAGGAAGAAGCAGGCAAGTGGCACAGGGCAATGGACAAAGAGATGAAGTCCATGAAAGATCTAGGTGTGTTCTCACTCACAGAGTTGCCACCGGGGAAGCAGGCTGTGAGTTCCAGATGGGTTTACCGTTTGAAACCCACGGGCGCTGGAGAGCCGCAGTATAAAGCCAGGTTAGTTGCTCGAGGATTTACTCAGAGGAAGGGAATACACTTCACGGAGGTGTATTCGCCAACGTCACGAGCGGAGACCCTGAGAACGCTTTTAGCTTGTGCAGCACAGAGAGGCTGGAAGGTAAACCACTTTGATGTGGATGTTGCCTACCTTAACTCAGATCTCCAGGAGGAGCTGTACATGATTCCTCCTCCGGGGTTTGAGAACTCAAGGCAAGATGTTGTGTGGAGATTGCACAAATCCATCTATGGATTACGTCAATCTGCTAGAAACTGGAACATGTGCCTAAATGAAGCTTTGGAGAAGCTAGGTTTCAGGAAGAGTCTTGCTGACAGTTACCTGTTCCTTAGAGGATCAGGAGACTCACAGGAACTGGTGCTGATTTGGGTTGATGACGTGCTTTTCGTCTCAGAAACAGATGAACAGGCGGAGAAGTTTGCCAAAGAGCTAGGTAAACGATTCAAGCTTAAACAGCTTGGTGCTGTCAAAACCTATCTAGGTGTCAATGTTGAGCGTGCACAGGATGGAAGTTTTTTGCTCAGCCAGAGAGGTAAAATTGAGCAACTGCTTCAGAAGTTCAGGATGAGTGATTGTGCAGGAGTGAGAAGTCCTATGGAGACTAGTTTTGTGAAGGACAGCCAGCAAGCAGAACGCGCTGCGTTCAAAAATACTGAAGTGTTTCAGTCAGCTCTAGGGAGTTTGTTGTACTTGTCCCAGTGGAGCAGACCTGATATAGCGTTTGCTGTCAATCTGCTCAGCAGGGAGGCATCAAACCCTAGTGTGCAAGCCTGGAATAGCGTCAAGAGAGTTCTGAGGTATTTGCAGGAGACCAAAGACTTTTGTCTTAGGTTGCCAGCACAAGGAGAAGTCAAACTGACTTGCTTTGTGGACTCGGATTGGGCTAATCTTGAGGATTGCAAGTCTGTGTCTGGCCTAGTGGTGACGTTTGGGAACTCAGTAGTTGGATGGAGGTCCAAGAAGCAAAGTCTTATAGCGCTCTCATCCACTGAGGCTGAGTTTAGTGCTCTTTCAGAGGTGTGCAGAGAAGTAGAGTTCTATGCTTGTTTGGTGCAGGAACTCTGCGAAGTGGATTGTCTGCCGATACGTGTTTTCGAGGACAATCAACCATGCCTGCGTTTGGCAGAGTCAGGTCAGTTCAAGGCCAGAACGAAACACCTAGACATTCGCTTTCGGAATGTGTGCCAGAGTGTTCAGGAGGGATTAGTTGCGCTGAGGTATTGTCCCTCTGCCAAGAACCTAGCTGATGGGTTCACGAAGCCACTCACCTTCCAAAGTCATGGAGAGTTTTGTGAAGGTCTGGGTTTGGGACGACCAAGGGTCGATTCTCCCCTCAGGCGCGAGACAAGAGGGGGTGTTGGGTGTAGTGAAGGGTTAACCTTCTGTGTCTCGAGGCTGAGAGGAGGCGCTTACAAGGGAAGTAAGCCAGGACGTGACGAAAGCAGCTTGGAATGCTGTGAGCTGAGTGAAAAGTGAAAGCAGTTTAGTTACGCAGCTGCTGCTGAGAGAGAAGGATGCAAACAGGGAGCAAAATGCAGCTACAATCAGATGGTGTATATGAACTGTAAATATGCTACTTTTGAGCAAATAAAGTGCTACTAGGAAAGAAGAAACGTGTGGGACTTTTACTGCCCTTTCTACACGGACGCTGTGCAAATTCTGCTAATTGCTTTACGACCTGCAGAGGAGTGCAGGGGAGCGTGCCGGACCACAACAATAAAGCAATAAATCTATCCTTAACACAAACCAGATGCCTCTGGGGAACTCACAAGCAGACCATGAGTGCAGTAGCACTCTCCCACTCAACATCCCTAGCACCTGTTGGTTAAGAAAGTGAAATATTTAGGGGTTAATATGACTGCTAAAAATGTAAATTTATTTAAGGATAATTATGAAAAATGTTGGATTGAAGTGAAAAAAGACTTAGAAATATGGTCAAATTTGAAGTTATCATTGTTAGGCCGAATTGCTGTGATAAAAATGAATGTGCTGCCAAGGATGTTGTTTTTGTTTCAAACATTACAAATTTTGGATAAGATGGATTGTTTCAAGAAGTGGTAGAAAGATATTTCCAGATTTGTTTGGCAGGGCAAGAAGCCTCGAATAAAATTCAAGATATTAACTGATGCTAAAGAAAGAGGTGGATTTGCCCTGCCAGACCTAAAACTCTATTATGAATCAGCTGCTTTTTGTTGGCTGAGAGAATGGATGCTACTTGAAAACACTGATGTGTTGGACCTAGAAGGTTTTAATAATGTATTTGGTTGGCATGCATATTTGTGGTACGATAAGGTAAAAGCACATAAAGCGTTTAAAAATCATATTGTCAGAAAAGCATTGTTTAATGTATCGATAAGATATAAAGATTTGTTAGAAAAGAAAACCCCAAGATGGTTGTCACCAATGGAAGCGAAGGCACAGAAAAAATTCAATATGGAGGCCAAATGGCCGGAATATTGGGAAATTCTGGAACAAGAGGGAGACAGACTAAAATTGCAGAGCTTTGAAAAATTGAAAAAAAAAGTGCGAGATTGGCTCCATTATTATCAAATAATGGAGGCATATAATTTGGACAAAAAAGTTGGTTTCCAGGTGGAAAAATCAAAATTGGAAACAGAATTGTTAGACTCCAAAATTAAGAATTTGTCAAAAATGTATAACTTGCTGTTGAAATGGAATACTCAGGATGAAACGGTGAAATCAGCTATGATTAAATGGGCACAAGATGTCGGACATAATATAATGATGGCTGACTGGGAACAGTTATGGACCACAGGTATGAAATTTACGGCATGTAATGCCCTAAGAGAAAACTTAATGAAAATGATTTATAGGTGGTACATGACACCAATCAAGCTTGCAAAAATTTATCATATGCCTGACAATAAATGTTGGAAATGTAATGAGACTGAAGGCACATTCTTTCACCTTTGGTGGACGTGCCCAAGGATTAAGACATTCTGGGAGATGATTTATAATGAAATGAAAAGGGTATTTAAATATACCTTCTTGAAGAAACCAGAGGCCTTTCTCCTGGGCATGGTCGGCCAAATGGTACCAAAGAAGGATAGAACTTTCTTTATGTACGCAACAACAACAGCAAGAATACTCATCGCGAAGTATTGGAAGACACAAAATTTGCCCACCCGGGAAGAATGGCAGATGAAGTTGATGGACTACATGGAACTGGCGGAAATGACTGGCAGAATCCGAGACCAGGGAGAGGAGTTGGTGGAAGAAGACTGGAAAAGTTTAAAGATTATCTACAGAAATATTGTAAAATTAATGAATGTTAGAAAAATGTTGAAATGAAGTTATATGGCTTTAGTAGAAATATTATAAGGAATTAAGTACAGATAGGTTAATAGAGTATTAAAGGAAAAAATAAGGTTAGAATGAGTTAAGATAATTATAGGATTGAAAACAGTGGAGGATGGAAAGGAATTGCTGAAATAATTAACAGAAGTGGAATACAAAAAGGGAGGTGTGAGGAGATCGTGGAAATAAGTGAATGAAAGAAGGGATAATGAAATTGGTTGATTTATTTTCTTGTCTTAATCTTGTTTTGTTAATTCGATGTGTTGTATTGTATTGTTTTTCTTTTTCTTTTTTTCCTTCTTTTTTCTTTTAGTGTTTTTGGAAAAATAATAAATATTATTTTTTTTAAAAAAAGATCCCTAGCACCTGGTATTCAGAGCATACTAATACAGGAGGCAGCATATAGTCATCATAGCTAGTATCCATAAAATGGACGATTTTGTAAGAGCACAGAACTCAGAACCTACTACATCAAATAGAGCTCATTCCCAGGTAGGTGGGGATGCTTTAATGGGTGGAGATCACCCAGGGGAGAATGCTGAGATGAGCGCTCATGAACTATCCCATGAACTACCATCTGAGGGGGCACCGCTCTATGCAGAAATACTGGCGGACCACTGTCTGCAGACTGCAAGAACAGTGGAGGAAATTAACATCAAATTAGAAAAGGTAACGTCTCTCCTGACGGAGTTGGTGCTTCTGGCAGCCAAAAATAGCTCACTCAGTATTAAAGAGACCGACCACAGCGTTGCCCTCCCCCTAGACCATCGTGTACAGGGGTGTAACCAGTCTGGACTTGATAACCAAGAGACTACAAATAGTAAAAACAACAAATGCGAAAGTAGGGACCTGATCCTACAAAGCACTCAAGTAGCTCTCGATATATATCCTTTTAATGGTATGCTGCCTTACTGGAAATCAATCGACAGTGTGAAGAGAAACTTTAAGCTTTTACTAAATATCCATTGCAACACTCTGATCGCGATAAACTTGCTTTGCACGGACCCCCAGCACACTAGACTCATGCTGACATTTTCTGACTCAGCTATCCCTAAAATGCTCCTGAAATATAGGGCCCTATTACAGGACTATAATATTGAGTTGAGGCACGTTTTTAAAGACACAGAACGAAAACAACTACCAAACTTGTCGTATAGCCGGTCCGACCCCAAGCAATCAATGCCCTCTCTGCCGAAGGGCTTTCGCCATAGGGCCATGATTCATTTGGAAGGGCCGTCAAAGATGGATATGTGCGGCGAACCCAGCCGTAACACTCCCTTGGAGAGGATAGCGTCAGAGGAAAAAGGCCAAACACACAAAGAACGCCAGCCCAATCTAGATAATTCAAAGATAGGACACTCTATTACGCCTTTGGCAGATCCAGAATTTCACCACTCTTTACGCCGGCTGGAATCTGATCAGCCAATGCCAAGTGACGCTCCTTCCAAGGGAAATGTGACACACAGAAAGCCAGAGACAGATTTAATTGTCTTTGACGAAGACCTCCCAATGGTCCCAGCAATTCAGATAAGACCGTCGATGCCGGGAAATCGGGAAAATGCTGCAACTCAACCCCGAGAACAACACCGTGCATATCCTAAGAACGGTTGCATCATTACCGAACCAGTGGGAGAGCTGATAACAATTTCCCCACCACAATGAAGCCAAGCCAGTTATGGAACGTGCAGCCTTAACATTATCTCGTGAAACATAGCAGGTTGGGCCAACAAACTAGGGGACGAGCCATTTCGTGAATATATAACAGGTTTTGACATAATAATGCTGCAGGAAACTTGGGCAACTGACAACATAGTTCTTGATGGTTACCACGCCTATGAAATCAAGGCCTCTAAACCGCTCGGAAGGAGACGACCGAGGGGGGGCCTAGTAACTCTGGTTTCCACTCAATTTGCGTCACAGGTTACTGAGTGCTCAGTTTTCGAGCAGCTGGCACTGGGGATCACTTTGCATCTGGAATCCAAGAGTATCATTCTTCTTTCAGCTTATATCCCACCATATACGGTGCAAACACAGATCGAGAGCACATGGCGTAAATTCCATAGTTTCCTTTATTCCCTACAGATTAAGTACCCCGATTCGCCATTTTACCTAATGGGGGATATGAATGCCAGAATAGGTTCAAATGACGATAGCCTGGAAATAAAATTCCCAATATTAAGAGATCTAAAGGAAAATAGTGCCCTCTTTCTAAACCCACCCCCACGTAGACATTCGAAAGATTGTCAAATCAACTATGCTGGCTTCTGTCTGGCTTTTTTACAAATAAGTCTTGACCTTATCATTGCTAATGGGGCGCTCCCCAGGGACAGAGAAGGCGAGTACACATTCATAAATACAAATGGAGCCAGCACAGTAGACTACTGTCTCACTAACAGGGAGGCCTTCTAATCAATTAAAAAATCCAACATAGATAATAGGACTGAAAGCGACCACCTACCTCTAATCATCTCCACTACTGGCCAAAACTCAATTCAGCGCTCTTACATAGAACATGAGGATATAGATAAAGCAAATGATCCAGCATTGCGTAGAAAAAAATGAACACCTGAGATAGCAATTGCAGTTGAGAATAGATTGAATTCACAAACTGCAATTAAGTTAAGATCAATTATAATAAACAATTTATCAACAGATTCCTCCCTGACGGCTTACGAAAATCTCATTGAGTCCTTGCAGGATGTGGTCTCTGTCAACATAAACTCAGCCGGCAAGCCACACACTGCTAAAGGGCGCGGTTGGTTTGACCAAGAGTGCCGCACAAAGAAGGAAGCCTTAAGGAATGCTTATTTGGCCTATAGAAACGCTGGGATAAATTACTTACCTCCATCTTATTTCAAAATCAAAAAAGAGTGTAAAGCCCTTTTGGCCTCAAAAAAAAAAAAGGCAGTCCGAACAAAAATCCTGGTCCCTACTATTGAATGCCTCACTAAACAATGACTCTAAATTCTTTTGGCAACTGGTCTACGACTCAATAAAAAATAGTTCTTCAGCCCCCAGCTGTGCCATTTCAGCTCAGGTTTGGGAGAACCACTTCAGAAATATATTTATGGAAAATCCAAACCTCCTTTCCAGCTTCCAGGATGATGATACGGCAGAATTGTCACTGCTCCCTCATTGGAGGCCAGTTACTGTGGAGGAAGTCCATACATTAATTGGGAATCTGAAGAGTGGAAAGGCTCCAGGGAAAGACTTTATCCCAGCGGAACTGATTACATCAAACCAGCATTGGTGGGCTCCGCTTCTGGCAGCACTTTTTACGGTAGTAAATAATTCGGGTAAGGTACCATATAGCTGGAAACATGCTATAGTAGTCCCAATCTTTAAGAGAGGCCACCCAAATGTACCCTCCAATTATAGGCCAATTAGCCTGCTCTCAATAATTGGGAAGCTGTATGCCCGATTCCTCAGTAGCAAACTGACAACTTTTCTAAATGAACATAATATACTATCTGAAGCCCAGGCAGCCTTTTGTGAGAACCATTCAACATCAGACCACTGTCTAATGCTGTCCTTCCTAGCCGAGAAGTATACCAGGCCTCTACAGGGTAAACTCTTCATGGCCTTCATGGATCTGAAATCAGAGTTTGACTCCATCCCCAGATCCCAGCTATGGTCCAAACTAAATCTGATTTTGCAGGACAAATGACTCCTCCTTCTTATAAAAGCCCTGTACAATGGAACCAAACTGCAGGTCCGATGCGGTCGACAAGGACAGTTATCAAACAGCATCGAGATGACGAGGGGGGTGAGACAGGGATGCATTTTGGCCCCCACATTGTTTTGTCTATTCTTAAATGACCTAGAAGAGAGCTAATGGACCCAGATGGACACCTTCCAAAAATAGGAATGAGAAGGACCCCCTTGTTGTTATATGCTGATGACGCGGCCATCATCTCACGTTCCAGACCGGGTTTGAATTATCTGCTGAGGAAATTTTCGGATTACTGTTCTGGAAATGGTTTATCCATTAATTATGAAAAATCTAAAATTTTAATTTTCGAAAGAAGCTTATCCTGGTCTAAATGGGTGCTGGATGGCCATAACCTTGAACAGATCAAATACTTCAGTTATCTAGGGCTCACATTCCATCATACAGGATCTTGGAAGCACCACTGGCAAACCTCCCTTCAAAAGGCAGAGATCACAAAGCTAGCCATACTCAGATTCTTTTTCACAAAGGGCGGCAAATATGTTCCAGCACCCTTAAGGGTTTTCAACGCAAAACCCGTTTCCCAACTCCTGTAGGCTGCAAATGTCTGGCATAATGGGGACCTGCCAAAGCTAGATGGCTTTCAGGCAAAATTTCTACGATCTCTGCTGCAGGTACCCACCTGTGTCCCCAACTCCATACTTCTGTTAGAAGCTGGTGAATGCCAAATTTCAACTAAAGCGTGGTGGGCTGCCCTAAAACATTGGCTCAGGATTTCAGTGTTTGATCTAGGGAAGGGTTTGTACCAACACCTGTCCAATGAGGAATTTGTCAGCAAATGGCAGAAAACCATGGCTACAAAAGCCACCTCTATTGGTCTGTCACCCCCCCCAACTGTATTACCTGGGTTATGAAGGCGCCCCAAAGATGTTAAAGCAAAGATTATGGGATAATGCACACAGTGACTTGCGATCTCGATCACACACAGTCTGTAGTCCGCTGTCAGTAGGAGTACAATATGGGCATGTCTTTAAGTTAACATCTTGCATTAAAAACCTGGCAGTACCAAACTATTGAAGGCTTTTCACCAAAGCCAGACTAAACGTCTTTCCTTCTGCAGTGTTGGATGGCAGGTTGAGAGGAGTTCCCTACCAGGACGGACTTTGCCCGTGTGCTCAAGACATCGATTCCATAAAACATATTTTGTTGCATTGTGCAAAATATGAGCAAGCCAGGGCTGAACTGATACTACCCTTGCTGGTACCTTTCCAGGGAAAATCAGAGGCTCACTATGTCAGGTTCCTATTGGAAGACCGGACAAATGCTAGAACATTAGCAGTGGCAAAGTTTTTCTCAGTGGTTGCAAGAACAAATAATCCCTATATTCTGAACAAAATGCTTGTTTAACCTGGAGGTAGACTGTATGAATTGTGTATTGCTTTGTAATGATTTGTTGGGTCTCTGGACCGTAATAAAGATTGATGATGAGTATCCATAGCCTTATCCTTCTCGGGCAATGTCTTTAATCCCCCTTTGAAGCCACTGAAGCTAGCTGCCATCTCTACACCTTGTAGCAAATGCCATTGTTTAACTATGACCTGTGGGAGTTGCAGTTCATCTCAACAAGTTGGGGCACCAGGTTAGAGAACGATGCTCTGTTGAATATCTTGTAACAGTTCCCCATTCCTCTCTCTGCGTGTGTGGTGTCTGCAGTGCTGTTTTGCATCCTAATCACAGCTCAATTTCCTTCTTTCTACCCACCCTGTCATTCCGTAATCCTAACTCCATATCATTTTCTGAGAAAGCCACTTCCGACATAAGGAGGAAGTGGTGTTGCGGGCTCACGCCCCCAACAATCACGCAGGGCTGGCAGCAGCCCTGCACGACCAAAGGAATCCTCGGGCCGCGTCAGCCCCAGAGCCAGCCAATTGGCTGGCTCCGGGGGCGTGGCCTGGGTCATTTAAGGCCGGCACGGCCTCGGGATCTCCCCTTTTCACCCTTGCAGAGGATTCGGTTTGCTTCGGTTTGCTGGCTCATTGGGGAGTTTTTTCCTTTAGGTCCAGGGTTTGCAGTACGGGATCTTCTTCTGTGTTTTTTGTGCTTTATTTTCAGGTTTATTTCAGGTCTTCATTGTTCACAGCGCGCCGCGTGCCTGTTCTTTGGCTCAAGAGTGCAGGTCAGCTCGGATCGCTTTAGGCAGTAAGGTGGTCGGCTTCTCGCCACGCACCGCGCCGCTGCTCCATCGCCTCTCTGGGTGCTTCCCTGCGGCCATGATTACTGCCTTTCCAGGGATTTATCGGACATCGGCTCAGCCACTCTCGGGGGCATTTCTTTCAGCTGGGGGAGCGACCTTTGAGGCGCCGCAGCGGCTCGTCTCCATAGCTGCAGTGATCCTTTTGCACCCACGCTCTTCTGAGGCTTTGCTATTTCCTGGAGCGGTCACAGGGAGTGGAGCCGCCATCGTGAGTCGCTGCAGCACTCGCGTCAGGTTTGAGAACCCCGGGGGGCTGTGAGGGGTAGAATCGCTTTACTTTGTTTTGTGTTGCCGTTAACCGGCTTCTGCTCCCTATAGAGGGCCGCCAGGGGTTTCTCCTGTGCCCAGCCCCTCGTCTAGTATTTTAGCGTGTGGTTTTACGCAGAAGAGAGTATTTCGTCAGCTGGGAGAGCGATAGCTGGGAGTTACCGGAGTTGCGGGGGCCACGAGGGGTCGTCTTTAAATTCAGTTGGAGAACTCGCCCCGAGGGGGTGAAAGCCAGGCATTAGCCACGTGGTCTATCAGACCGCTGGTTTATCGGAGCTATTTAGATCCGGACGCAAGAGCTGCTTGAAAAAATCCCTTTATTGTGTAGCGGTGCTGTTTGAATTACTTTTTAAGCATCGTGTTGCCCTAGTAATGCCAGCACGCTGCCGCCATCTTGTGTCAGTCACATGGCTCCTCTACGTGCACCATTTTAGGATAGGCAACCAACTTGATTGTATCTAGTCTTGGAAGGGTACAATTGTATCCCTCTTGATAGTTATTCGGCTTTGTTACTTTGTGCACTGCCGGCGACACTTTCTTACACAGTTTACTACTTTACTGAGGCTGGGCGTTAATTCACCCTTTGGTTACTTTGCTTGTGGCGGCACAGCCTTTTGTTTCTATAGCCTTTTGGATTCAGCTCACTGCAAAAGGGGCCGATGGAGTCAGCTTACTGTAGGAGGGGCTGACTGCTCAAGCTTGATTTCCTGCAAGCGGCGTGGTTTAAATTCTGGGTGTGCCTTACAAAGGGAAATTTTCACTTGCAGTGGTGACTGCAGTTCACATATTTCGTTGCTCACCCCCTTTAAATTGCAGTACATTTCAATTCCTTAGTTTTTGCTTAGTTTGCTGGTACTGAGTTGGATATATATAATTAAATAATCCGCTAAATATTCCGGTAGGGCATTTGCACATAAGACTCAAATACATTGGGCTGATAGGTGATCAGTATTTGAAAGGTGTTCAGTAACTGGTGGCTTTAGGGGAAACAATTACTGTTCAGTCTGTTCTTAAGGTTATATAAACTGCATTAGAGGAAGCTTATATTAAAGTGCATTAGAGGAAGACTTAACATATTTGGTGGCCCTGTGGGCACGGGGGTCTTAGCTCGGTGACATAATCTGATCTCTGCAATTTATAAGGTCACTCAAGTTATTCAATAATTCATTGGGGCTTATCTTAGAGGAAATAATTCATAGGGAAAATCCACAGTTCATAAGGCTTAATTAAAGTGTTTAATTCATAGGGCTCAATTACGCTGCATAAGTCTTTGCGTTTATTCTTGAATACTTACCTATAAAATTAAAGTGCATCATCCTCAGGGCTTATTCATAGTTAGGAACAGGTAGTTTTGTCCTTGGTAGCTGGGCATTTCGGGTGAAAATACCAGCTCTGCATTTTTCTTTGCTTGCATTGTGATTTGCTTTTGCATTTAATTTTGTCTTAGCATGGCTAACAGGGGTAATTCTCAGGCACCTCATGCAGTGCAAGGTGGTCCTCAAACTCCCACCATGCCTTGCATCCCTCAAGCCATAGCTCAATTATTTTCTGCTATCAAAACCTTTTATTTACAATGCAGGCCAGCGGCTTCCAGTGCTTCCACACCTGTGGCGGCCTCACAGGATTGTATTCTGGACACCCTTCCCAGTGAGCAGGCCCATTCGGGTCCATCAACTTCTGCCTCCAGTACAGCGCAATCCGGCAGCGGGTCAGGCAACCGGCCTCATACACCTTCCCAGTCTTCACATGCTCAGAAGTCAAAGTCCGGCGCCGCAAAACCCAGTGTTTCTGGTGCCAGCTCCAAATCAACAAGGCCTGGTCGCTCCACTACCAACCAGCAGGTAATCAATATGCCTAGTATTTTTCAGGAATCACCATCTCAGCCCATTCCTTCGGAGGGCGCGTCAGGTTCTTCTTCAGAGGAAGAGGTACCTCCTCAGCAATCAACACCAGCATCCACTGACCCAGCCCCAGAGGTCAGTGGAATCCAAGGGGGAAAGAGAAAGGCTAAGAAGAAGCACATCTCTAAGAAGAGTAATAGAAGCGAGCCTTCTGATTCCGAAGACGAAACAGGTACCTCTTCATCAGATTATGATAGCGATGCCACCATGGAGAGCTACTGGGGTGAGGGTGAGGATTTGGCTGGGGTCCCACTTTGGGTGCACGAGAGAAGGGCCAATTCACACGGGAAAACATTTAACGGAACCTTGGAGTGGAAGGGGGGTGCACTGGTGGAAGATGTAAAAACTTCCACTAACGTGTCTACCAACTTCATCTTAGGTAATCACCTTTCTAAATGAAAGCGGACTAAGATACTCAATGGGGACTACATAGATACGTTTACATTGTTGCCACCAGCCAAAATGACGGGGAAAGGGGGAAAGAAGCGGTTTGATGGGAAAATAAGGTATAGGTCACACCGGGCGGAGCACACCTTTGAGAACTGGCTGGATGGGTTCCAGGTCTTCATGGGGATGGTTTCGGCATGTTACCCCAAACGTAGGATGCATCTGGCTGCCTACATGGCCCATGTGAGAAGGGTCTGTGCATTGGCTGGGGAGGCAGCTGCTTTAACGTATGATGAGGATTTTCGTAGAAACGCCTCCTTGCTGCCAACCACCCGCTGGGACCTGAGGGACCAGAACTATTGGATGGAGCACGTGGGTCCATACGTGGAAAAGAAAGCGTAGGACCCCGCTAAGTCCAGTAAGGTTGAAACTAAATGATGTAAGCAGTGTTGGGAGTATAACCAGGGAACTTGCCAGCGCCCAACATGTAAGTACCTGCACGAATGTGAAAAGTGCTTGGGTAACCATCCTGCAACGGCGTGCTATAAGGGTAAGCAGCCCTTTCGGGGTGGCAGGGGTCACCTCCATCAGGGAAACCGAGGTGCCCCCGGACCCTCCCAGGGCGCAGCAGGCAACCGCTACTAATTGGTCCCTTTCTCTAGCCTACTCACCTATCAAACTACAACCCTTAAAAGTCCTCCTATATTTATATCCAAATAGACAAGGGTTTTCCCGTGGTTTTAGAATTCCGGTCTCATTCTCACCCAATTCCGGAAGCCCCCCAAATCAAAAGTCAGTGAAAGATAGGCCGAATATTGCCATGAAAAAAATACAGAAGGAAATATGGGCGGGGAGGGTAGCTGGTCCATTCTCGGAACCCCCCCCCCCCCGGAAAACCTGCACATTTCACCATTAGGCATTGTGCCCAAAAAGGCCCCGGGTGAATTTCAGATGATTCATAACCTCTCTTACCCAAAGGGTAGCTCAGTTAACGATGCAATTCCTCAGGAACTGTGCTCAGTGAAATATGAATCCTTCAACCAAGGGGTAAAGCTTGTTTGCCGTTTTGGTAGGGGCGCCTTCCTAGCCAAATGCGACATTGAGTCTGCTTTTCGCCTTCTTCCAGTCCACCCCAAGGATTTCCGCTGGTTGGGTTTTAAATTTGAAGGGGCGTATTTCATAGATAAAGCCATGCCCATGGGATGCTCAATTGCCTGTGCGGCCTTCGAGACCTTTAGTACATTCTTAGATTGGACTCTTAGATTTAAAACCGGTTCTGAGGGGGGTGGGGCATTATTTGGACGACTTTATTCTCGTCTCAAGTAATGCACACGATTGCATAGCACTGTTACAAGCTTTCATGTCCTTGGCCGAGGAGCTGGGTGTCCCTTTAGCAAACGATAAAACCGAGGGTCCGGTCACCACCATGAACTATCTGGGCATTGAACTGGACACAATTGCACAAACATCTCGCCTCCCTGAGGATAAGTTAACCGCCCTGAAAGAACTTATTTCACAACTATTGCCACTTAAGAAGGTTACCCTCAAGCAGATCCAGTCCCTCCTAGGTCACCTTAACTTCGCCTGTCGTGTAGTTTCTCCAGGACACCCCTTTTGTGGGCGTCTAGTGAGATTGTCAGCGGGCTTGAGGGCACCACACCATAGGGTGCGTCTTTCTAAGGCAGTCAAAGCAGATCTTGGGGTTTGGCTAGAATTTTTAGAAGAGTATAATGGCATTTCCCTGTGGCAAGATAGTATGTCACTGCAGGCAGATTTTCAGGTTCACTCAGACGCGGCGGGTTCCTCGGGGTTTGGCGTCTATTTTAGGGGTCAGTGGTGCACACAGCAGTGGCCCTCAGGCTGGCATGGTAAGCCTATATTGCGTGATTTAACCTTCTTAGAATTCTTTCCCATCGTGGTCGCAGTTCACTTATGGGCGGAACAGTTCAAAGACCGTCGGGTTTGCTTCTGGACAGATAATCAGGCAGTGGTATCAGTCTTAACTAAGCAATCTTCGTGTTCCCCTAGGGTGGCAGCTCTACTGCGGTCCTTTGTCCTTTCTTGCTTAAAGCTAAATATGTATGTTTCAGCCAAATTTGTACCAGACATTAATAACAGCATTGCGGATGCTCTATCTTGTTTTCAGATGGATCGCTTCCGCTCGTTGGTGCCGAATGCGCAGCAATTGCCACAGCCATTTCCGGAGCACCTTTGGAGCCTTGGGAACGAGAAGTGCTAAAGGGAGTATTGGCATCAGTTGCCCCTTCAACCCTAAGGTCTTATAAAAAGGCGTGGTCAGACTTCACAGCATTCCATAACAAAATGGGGGTGGTCAGTCCTGGCAATCCCCCGGCCAAAGCAGAGGTTTTAAAATACCTTGTGCACCTGCGAGAGTTGGGACGTGCCCCTAAGACTCTCAATATTCAGTCCACAGCGATATCATTCTTCTGCAAAGCTATGTTCTTAGTCGACCCCTGTGCGGACTTTGTCGTGCGGAAAGCTTTAGAAGGGTGGCGCAGATTTCAGCCCCCCAGCACCGATAGTAGAAGGCCCATAACTTTTGATATACTCTGTCAAATACATAAGAAGCTCAGGGCCATCTGCTGGTCAAAGTATGGGGCGCGCCTATTTTCAGCAGCGTATTCATTCGCCTTCTTTGGTGCCTTACCTATAGGCGAGGTGGTCTGTGAGGACCAACCAGATGGAAGTACAAAGGGGATTCTACTGAAGGACGTGACCTTATCCCGATCAGAGTTGGTTATAAAAATCCGTAGTTCAAAAACCGATCAGCTGGGGAAAGGGGCGCTAATTCGGCTGCTAGCTACTCAAAAAACCGGTCCTTGCCCCGTAAAGGATGCAAGAAGATACATTTAAGACCAAACACCCCTGGCCCCTTTTTCATACATGCAGATGGCTCCCGCCTTTCAAATCACCAGTTTACGCAGGTTATGCGTAAAGCAATTGCTGCTATTGGGCTTCCATCAGAGGAATTTGCTGCTCACTCATTCCGCACTGGTGCAGCCACTACAGCGGTGCACTTAGGCTTGCCGGCAGAAAGGATAAAGGATTTGGGTCGTTGGAAATCCAACGCATATAGAGGGTACATCTGCAAACCTCTATGATGATCCCCATCGTCCCCATCATCCCTGACCCCACTTCGTATGCTCTTTCCCTTTTAGGTGTCGAGGTGGTACGCCTTTGGATCATTGGCCATAGCATTGTTTACTGGGCCAGAATCCGAACAGTCACCAGGGGCCAGGGATGCGGTTTAGAACTTCCAAAGAACGTTAAATTATCCTGGATCACGCGCCATGGAATGCGATGGGCTGAATTTCTATCCGCAATAAAAGCTAAAGCTGCCTTGGAAGGTCCCCCCTGAGGCATTGGTCATCCAACTGGGCAAAAACGACCTGGCCTATCGGAAGGGCATGGACTTAATGTGGAATATTTTCAATGATTTTGGGGAAATGCGGGCTGCCTTCCCCAATCTAATGATAATTTGGTCATCACTATTAGAAAGGCACACCTGGAGGGATTGCAGATGCCCCAAAGCTGTAAATAAAGCCAGGAAGATCCTGGAGCGATCAGTGGCTCGCAGAGTGGCGGCACTGGGGGGGCAGCTCATTGACCACCCCAGCATCCAGTTTAGCAGGGAGGCCCTCTACCGCAAGGATGGCGTGCATCTTTCTGATGCGGGTAACAATGTGTGGCTTTCTGACATATTCACGGGGATTAGGGATTGGTTGCAGGTCTGAGGGTATTGGCGGCAAGCTTTGCTCGAGTGGCGGTTAGGCATTGGTAGGGGTATTATCATGTAGAAGTGTTGGGGGCGAGGAGCGCCATCACCTCCCCAAATATTTAAGGGTAGTCCGGTAAAAGATTCTGGGGGCCGTTGCCTCATCCGAAACCTATGGAGGTCAGGGCCTAAAGCACGCCCCCGAGCGGTGACCCCTGGGGGAGTTCCTAGTGATGTGCATCGCAGGGCTCCCCCTGCTGGTGTTAACCCTTTCCGGTTTTCATGCTAACAGGCTGAAGCTGGATAGTCTGATAGGACCAATGCCTAAAGCCAATAAAGCCAATACTCTTACCTGTAACCAATAAAGTTGTGGCCAATTTTTGCCCATTAACCTTAAACAATGGTGTCCTGTGTCTTTATTTATTCCAATTGGTGGGAGGCGGGAATCGGCACGCAAGAAGACCAACCAGGTTGTGTCTGCAATTTTTCTCTGACCAAACAGAAACTGTTCACTTCCAGAAGTTTAATATGTATGGAAGGGAAATGAAAGGCTTTGGAATCCAAAGAAAACAACATGATTGCCAAGCTGGGTACTTAGTCACATTTCCTGGTTTACCTTGTGGGCTTTGAATCTGAGAGAGGGAAAGAAAAATTATGCAAGCATCTGTTTCCAAGAGGGAAAGTCCTGTCAAATCTATTGTGCTGGAAATAGTCTTGAAAGGAGAGCAGACCCTGAAGTATTATCAAATGCATTTACATACATCTCTCTCTCTCTCTCTCTCTCTCTCTCTCTCTCTCTCTGACAATAGAACATCTCTGAATCTGATGATTTTTCATACCTCATGCTACAATCCCCCCCACCCAGATGTTTCTCTGCACTCTTCACTGTGCCCATAAATCTATTGTTCTATCCTGGTTATGAGCTGGAGCCAAGCATGGCATAACAGAACCTCATTAGATCTTATGAGACTTGGAGCTCATCTGAAGCCTATTGTCCTTCTTAGGAATATAGAAAACAGAAACTTACCCTGTTGCAAGTCAGTCCATTGGTCCATCTAGCTCAGCATTGTCAACAATGATGGCCAGCAGGGCTTCTGCCATGGCGGTTGCTTTCCCGTGATCAGGACAGGCTCTGACAGACAGGAGGGGGGCAACTGGGACTGAGATGTCCCCTGAAATTCCCTGAGACAATTCAGGGGGACTTGAGAACCCATGGTCACTGTGGATCCCGATCCTGCCGCTGCTGAAGCAAAAGGCTCCGAAACAGGCACTGGGT